AGTGTTGATTTCTGAGCAGTGTCCCGGAACCCCGGGTGTCCCGGAACCCCGTCAGCTAGCTTAATCGACTCGACACGCAATTACAATGCTAATAACTATGCTACATCCTACTCATACACCACCTAAGTAACACAAGATCGAAGTTGAGAAGCTGGAATATACACTTCGTCTCCAACCGCCCAATCATTACTCATCATCAGCCAATGCTTCCCAATGCTTCTTCTCCTTCTTGGGCCAGAGCGACTGAATCCATGATTCCCCTCTATCTTCCACCGGCCTCTTCGTCCTCTCTTCTACATCAGCATCTAGCTCAAACTTCCTCATGCGCTCGCCAATCCTTGGATCAATGACCATCTCATCTAACCACACCCTCTCCCTCACATCGTCCTCGTCACGCTTCTTCGCGTTCTTATGCCAGTCGGGTTCTTCGTTGGCAAGTAATCGTTGTTGTTCCCAGTTTGAGCTCTGCCCTGAGCTTTCTGAAGAAGTATTCTCAGCTTCAGTGTGGAAAGGTCTGTATGCGCCTAACACGGCCGCGGCTGTCTGTCGTCCAATATCATCTGCCACTTGCCTTCTGTTCAGGAAGCGGTACATGCGGATGGGGAAGTTGAAGAAGCCGAGGAGATGCGGCAAAGGTATCGCGACGGAGGGGCCGAGAGCTTGAGGACAGGTCGAGGGGAGGTTTGACTCTTGGTATTGCAAGGGTGTGTTGAAGGGCGGTGGTTGTGTCTTCTTCTTCGGTTTCTTCTCCTCCTCTTTCGGCTTCTCGGGCTCTGCTGATTCTGGCGTCGAATCATGAACTACTGTCGGAGACGCGTCGTCGGTCGTTGACTGTGTCGGAGTCGTTGTAGTATCGGGGGTCGCTTCAGGAGCAGGTGTCGGCGTAGTAGGAGCGGGAGTCTCCACCACCGCAGGATGAGGATTATCCAAAGGCCCTAACCATCCCTCATGCAGCCCCCTCACATACTCCTTCCAAGTATGCCGTCCAATAACCACATCCCCTCCAGGTCCATCCCAATCCCTGATGCCAGCTCTCTGCCTCATCTCCTCCACAATTTCCTTCTCTCCCGGCTCCAACGGCTCTGCCGTAGCTTCCCCTCTCCGTTTCCTTAATGTGCGTATCCTTTCCGCCAGCCCAGCCCTCACATCTCCTTCTCTCCTTCCCTCAATCGCATCCCAGTCCAGCGCCGCCGCGACCAGAATAGGCTTGACATACTCGTTGAAGTGATCGCGTGCGGTTACAATGCCATCGGCGGGCGGTGCGGATAAGTATATCGTAAGCTTCCGGGGCATCTGATGCTCGTCCAGCTTCTCCTGTGCTATGTGCTCCACCAGTTTTGTCCACTTCTTCTGTATGCGCCTCTTCTCGCGTCGGTCGTACATTACGGCGGCAGTCCACGACCCGGTTATCCCGAGGAAAATCATCCAATTGCGCGAGGGGAGCTTCCAGCGGAAGTTGGGCAGGCCTGCAAAAGTTAGCTGCACATCGAATGCGACGAATGGAAAGGGGACGTACCCATCATCCTAAAAGCAGGGTTCGGAGGCTTTGGCGGCTTCGCAGGGCCACCTGAAGCCCCACCTGCCGACGACGCTTTTGCATCGGGTTCAGACATGATGTATGCGACTGGCGTGGATGTCCTAAAGGTGAAGGCTGCAGAGCCAAAAAAGTTTGGGCGATCGCCGCGGGAATTGTTCGGAGCGGTTCCTGCACTGCTCCCAAGTGATGCTCAACCGCCCTTGGCGTCCCATCGCATCAGACGGCGGCATTGCCCGCCAAAAATTCCAACCCCTTCCCCCACAACAAAAATTGTACTTTTATCAAAAAAAAAAAGACCGCCTCTCAAATCGCTTCAGTTTGGCGCCAGAGGGAATCGAACCCTCGCTATCACGGCCACAACGTGATGTCATACCACTAGACTATGGCACCTCTACGCTCTTGGGACAGAGTCGATTTTATTTTAAAGAAATTTGAGTTTTAAATAATTTATACACAGCTGGAAAGCCTTCAGAAGCGTAATGAGGTCGCCTCTATACTTGAAAGTCAGAAATGGTGCAAGTGGGGATCGCGGAGTCATAGCTGTAGTGTGGCAGAGAAAATTCAAAAGAAAAGGGAGGCACAAGGTGGGCCGCGCGCTTGTGTGCCCAACCTAGACCCCTCTACTTGGACGGTTGTATAAACGCTTGATAGGAAGGTATATTGTAGTTTTTAATATTCAGCGTAGCAAATTACATATGAACCTCTTCTTACGGGAGTGCATAGTCAGTAATATTCAGACCCGTCTGTTTCTGAAGCAGTGTGAGTCACCCTACATCATGCATTTCGAAGGTCTCATACGATGGCACTTGGTATAACGACTACTTTAACTTAAGAATTTGAGAGTATTCAAAGTTCACAGACGAAGATCGGGTTGCATCCAGATAACTGGTAGCTATTCAAGTCCACCCGAAATCAATCTTTTTGATCACTGCGTTGGTTTGGTCGAAACCCATCACATGTCACGCAGAAGAACTCAAGTTTTGCGTCCACATACATTCTATAGACAGGAAATTCTCCTTGTCCCTATGTAGACGCAACTTCATCAATCGTACAAACTACCCACATCCAACCGTTGCCCCAAACTGAAGCCAATGCTCCCTCCTATAGAAACAAAAAACCTCGCAATCTCCCCAATAGACACCAACCCCTCCATTCAAACCCAGGCCTAATTCTCCTGCTCAAAAACCCCTGGCTCCAACAACACCCCATCCAACATCTTCCCCAAATGCGTCTTCTCCATTCCCTCACCCTCGCGCCTCAACTTCATGAACTCCCTCAGAAACTTCACAGCGCTGGTCTTCAACCCCCACTTCCCAACAGGCGGCTTTATGAACCCATCTGCCTGCACTGTCTGGCCCTCCTTCGCTTCCGTCCAAGACAGGCCAAGGAAGTCGCACAGTTCAGTGTACTCGTTGTACGAATCGAAGTATAGTTGGCCGGCGAAGAGATTGAGCTGCACGATGAGACTCCGGCTGATGGTCCTGATGTCGAAGGTTCCGCCGCTAATGCAGTAGAGGTCCATGTTGTCGAGGGAGCGGTAGCCTAGGTTCGGGCGCGGTGAATATACGTGCAAGGTGACGTCTTTCGTACAACCGATCGTGAGTAGCAAACGATCTGCTTCGAAGGGGCTGATGACGATCAGACCGCGCTCAGCATTCGTTGTGTTTCGCCGCTTGGTCCAGGAGAGAACCCATTGCACCGGACGTAAATACGCATCTGTAACGTTTACGGACGCGGTCCGACCTAGAGGGCGCTTAACCGTGCGCATGAAGTCTTGTGTGACCAAGAGACCTGTAGGAAATTGAGACAGGTCGAAGAATTTCGCTGCGCTAGTGTTGGATAAAGCACGGAAGGCTGACATGAATGCCCGCGAGCCTTGGGGAATCACTCCAGTATTTATCAAGTGTATCAAGTCTGGATGCACATGGTGTTCTTCAGGCGTCATCGCAGGCGGCCGTTGGATCTGGCACTCGGCTTGGATTTCCGGCGAGAGCTCTCGTTCTTGCTCTTCTTGGAGAGTTGCAGCGTCGAAGGCCATCGATTCGAAGTCCCGACAGCGCTGCAGGATCTTGGTAAGGCTAGGGTCGTTCACATCCCAATCGACGGGTGCTTCCAAGGATGCTGTTGGGCGGCGTGGTCGGTAGCGATAGTCGAGGGTTTGAGCCTCTTCTTCAAGGAATTCCTGTGCTTGGCTCGCAGTAGTGTCCACTCCGTTGAGGAGGTGCTTGTGTGTCTCATAGCGTCGGCCCTGGGTGGCCCACAAGGGCATGCTTCGACGCAGGTCAGCCCACGTCTCTGTGATGGCCCATACGAGCAGAGTTGCTATCAGTCAGTTCAGTCAGTCCAGAGAGCTCCGGACTGACTGAACTGACGTCGTGAGGTCACTGAACTGGACTGGACTGACTGCCAAGACTTTTCAATTGAGTTAAAACTGACTGACTGAACTGACGTCGCCGCCGCCTGCGGACTGACTGGACTGACTGAACTGAGTTACCTGACGTCAAACTGAGATAACTGCTCCTGTATTTTCGAGATTTCTTCCTCCGATAGTGTACGCGCTAACCCCAAAGCTGACGTAGTCGTTGGCTGTATACCAAGCCTCTTCCAGCTCTTTAAACTCTGCAAAGCTGAAACAAGCTCTGGCTTCATATGGAGTCTCCGCGTGCCTAACATGTCGCCAAGCTCGCTGAAAGTCCGCTCACAGTCTGCCGCTGCCGCTGGTATTGTCAGAACGTCGATAGCAAACTTTGAGAGTATGGGGAATTGCCCAGCAACTGACTCCCAGTATAGAAGCGGATTAAGAGACAGCCAATCCTCCTCAGCTAACGCTGGCTGCCGCTTCCAAATCTCATACTCATCCTCCGCAAGGCTTGCCTCTACCTGCCGTATACTTTGCTCGATCGACGACTGTAGAAAAGCTGATCGCGACGTTGACAACCCTAGCCGGGACTTCTTATGCGGCGGCGTCACTATCTGAGCTGGAATAGCTGCGGAGTCCTTTCGCCCCTGCCACATGCGCAGGAATGCCCGGTGGTTATTGTCAAGCCAGCCGTCGCGATGGTGAACACCGTCACGGGCAGTAACATAGGTGTCGGGTACCTTCCAGAGCGCTAAGAGGTGGTGCTTGTAGTGCGGGTGTAGTATCGTAGCAGTGTAGTAGACAGGCGCGTCGTCAAATTTTGCGTAGTACTCAGCAAGCTTACTGTGCGCAAGGTTGACGTTCGTAACAAGATGATCTTCAGGCGCGTCCAGATCTTCGTAATTTACATCCTTAAGACGGTCTTTAAGAGCCTCAAGCTGGTCAAGAAGCCACTCAAACGTTACTAGAACTTCCCAAATAGCGCCATGGCGGCCGTGTTGTCCGCGGCCTTCAAGTAGCTATGTAGCTTCGGCAAATGGCTCAAGGAGTCAAATGTACTCTGTTATTGTCGCCCAGTCCTTGCCGCTTAGACCGCCTTCACGTATGTATAGTCGCGGCTGCGCAGCGGGCAGCTGCTCGCGGTTTTTCCGGCGCCGTGAGGGTGCTGTTGCAGCACTATGCTCCTCAAGTTTACACTCAATATAGCTATCGATAGGGCCGTGTAGCTCAGCTGCGCGCACAAACGTGCTAAAATAGCTATTCCAGCGGGTCTTGACAGGCTTAACAAGCTACCGGATGTGAGGTGTAACACCTAGAGACTCTGCCTCCTCGCGCTGTAGTCGCTCTAGTAGTTGTCGAGTTTGAGGCGTGCAGATAGACGCAATCACATCAAAGAGGACACTAATAGGACCGTATTTGCGCCACTCATCCATGTACTTCTTCTCATCCTCAAGGTGGGCGGCGTCATTCTCGTACGCGCTACGATCTTTGCCCCAAATTACTAATTGCGCGCCTAGGTTGAGTATATGGCAGCAGCACCGCAGCCGCCGCTCGCTTGCGATAAAGCCAAACTCCTCTGCTAAGGACTCAACTGCAGTATCATTGTTACTTGCGTTGTCAAGCACAAAATACCCAACGCTCGTGTTGTCAACGCCAAATAGCTGAAGTATCGTTGTTGCTACAGCGGCAATATTATTGCCAGTGTGCGCTCCGTGTAGCTCAGGCAACCCAAGCAGGTGGTCAACTAGCTTGCCCTCGCTGTTAAGGTAATGTACGCAGAGGCCAGTAAAAGCATACTGCCCACCAGTTGAAGTCCAGTTGTCAAATGACACGTGTATAAGCGACCGGGCTTCGCGAAGGTAGTTGGCAACAGCTGGTATATATGTATTGTACTCAGCAATAATATGATCACGGAGCGTTTGGTGGCTACGCCAAAGGAGGGCTTCGGCTAGCGGGCTTACGGCCGCAATCATGGCTTAAAACTGCGGCGTTTCTATTACGCGAAGGCTCTAGTTGTCCGCGACTACCCAGTCCTTCAGCGCGTCCTAAAATCGAGAGATTGAAAAGCTTGCTGCCATCTCGTTTGCCACCTCTTGCGATACCTCTATCCCTTTAGACCTTATGATATGTACTTGGGACTTTGCGAGCGCGCCCATAATATTGCCCTCCCGGCTAGCAATTAGTATAGGTCCGTTAGGTCCGTGTGAGTGTCCAGGCTTATTGCTTGAGAGGTGTCGGCCGGCGTTTGTAGTGCTGTCAGCCTCGTAGCAAGCCTCCTGCTTCCGTCGTTGATGGCAGTACCGGCAAAGCCAGTAGTTCTTCTTGTACTTGCGGTGCCAGACGGCCCAGCCGTGGCGGTAGATCCAGCTTTTTGGCCCACCGCGACTATTGCGCTCAACTTGGCGCCGCTCAAGGTACGGCACACGCTTAAAATTAAGCCCGTCGTAATTGTCGTCGTCGTCGCCGTCGTTGGGGAAGTCCGCCTGTACTGCCACAGACTCATCAGCCTGTGCCTCGCCCGCAGTATCGCCAACAGTAGGCGCGTTCGATAGCGATGGTAGAGGAGGATTGCGCTTGTCGTATTCTACAAGGCGGCCAAGGTCTAAATTGGAGGGAGTAGACATGAAGTACACCAAACAGTATTATAGTAACAGTAGTGTAGCGTCGTGTGTTTAGCGGACGCGACGCGACGCGAAAGGCTTGCTAGGTGCGGCTAGCGCACCTCCACAAACTCTGATTGGCTTGATGCTATATATTTTAACTCATATAGGATTAGTGCCTATGTATCCAGGACTAGCGCGGCTTCGAAGCCGCACCAGATGTGGCTATCACGACTGCAAAATTCTACTTCAAAAACAGCCAACGTCAGTCCAACGTCAGTCAGTTCAGTCAGTCTGGAGGCCTCTAAACTGACTGGACTGACGTCCAGCGGCCTCAAGAACTGACTGACTGAACTGAGTCTTGGCAGTCAGTTCAGTCAGTTCGAACTGAGTTACCTGACTGATAGCAAGTCTGCATACGAGGACATCAG